CCATCGATGTAAGTGTTCTTATCCATGATGACTATCTGGCCACCTTTGTCAGCCTTTGAAATGATAATATCCGGGTTAGAATGAATTTCGTGCATTGTAGCTCTTTCTCTCGCAGTTAGATTTGATTTCAAAGGTTTATTGTTGAATTTCACATTATGAGCGATAAGATGCCTAATCATTTCTTTCTGTGAATCTGAAACTTTACTGAACTTGAAAGCTTCTTCGTTAGGAGCCAAAATCTTTGGAATCGAGGGTTTACAGGTTTGTAAGAAGTTAAAATTATATTTTAGAATTCTCTCTTGTTCTTCTGAAAGACTAACATTAGAAATATTAACTACTAGCTGTACCCGCCCGGCGTTGCCCGTGCATTTAGAAAATGCAGATAAGTGAATAGCGCAGGAATAGTAGTGTAGGACTTGTAGACTGTCTCTCTCTCTTCCCCCCCCCCACAAGCTACAAAAAAGAAATGAATTGTAATTAATCGATTTAATGTATCGTCAAAACAGCAAACTAACGCTAGAATAAAGAAATCAATTGTTACAATCGAACGTTATTTGAAAACAAATAATAATATCAGTGAGTCAAAAAAACCGTGATTAATTAATTATAAATAATTTTTTTTAAATTTTTCTAATTTCAAAAATCGAAATCGGCTTCGAGGTCTGGTGGCCAGCCCCTTTGTGCTTCCGTATAAAAAACTCCAGGTCCCTGCGTGCGATAGATTTGGCTGGAGAGCTCGGTCAGACAGACAGACAGACAGACACATTACACTTGCTTTTATTATTATAAGATTGGTTTGATGTTTACAATGGGAAGATTTTTTGAACTACTTGAACTGGAAGATTCTAAAAGAAGTTTTTCGAATTTAACTGCAAGGGTGTTTTTATGACGGTTAACTGCATTCTCTGTTCTAGATCAAGACTGTTTGAAGGTAATAAAAATGATTTAAATAAAGTTCTTTCAATAATGAATTCTATTGATCCTGCTATTCCGTTCACTTTTGAACTTGAGACTTGCAATTCTCTTCCGTTTCTCGACATTCTGGTCACACGTAACACATCCAACTTCAGTAATACGGTTTACCGTAAACCTTCATCAGTTTGCCTTCCACCAAACTTTAAATCATGTCATCCAACTAAAGAAAAGTTAGCTTCATTTTATTCCTATGTTTTCCGTGCTCTTCAAGTTTGCTCCTCTAAAACTAGCCCTTGATGAAGACTAAATTATTTAAAAGCAATAGCTATTGACAGGGGCTTTTCATCACCCAACATTTAATCAAGTAGTTAAGAAATTCTCATCTCAACACACGAAAAGGCACACTCTTGTTTTAGGAGATTATAAAAATTTTATTGTCATTCCCTTCTTTCCATCAATTAGCTATAAAGTTGCACATATTTTGCAGAAATTTAACTTTCGGGTTGTTCATTCTCCCATCAATAAAATTCCGAGCTCCATACTTAAGGACCCCATTCCAGATATGAATTCCTGGGGTATTTATAGAATTCTTTGCCAGTGTGGTTTAATTTACATTGGCCAAACTAAGAGAGCCTTGAAATTTCGTGTCAAGGAACATGAGGCATGTGTTAGAAAAAAGGAAACACAGAAGTCTTCTGTTGCTCAACATTGTTGGTCCGAAAATCACACTTTTCAATTTTTGGCTGCCAAAATTATTCAAAAAAACATCTTCCATTGGAGAACTGGATGTTCTAGAGGCATTTCACATTCATAAAAATCTTTCTGTTCTAGTTAACGATCCTAATTCCAATCCAAATTTGCCTTCGGCCTTTAAAGAAATTAATTTTTAGTTCTGGTTTCACCAACAGTTGGCACTACTTGCTTATTCTTGTCCAGGCTTTTTTTTTATCTTATCTAATCATTATTTCCTATCTTGTTCATTTGCGGTTTTGCAGCTGAGGATGGTGGTTTGGTAAAACCACCGAAACTAGTCCTGTGAAAATTTTGTAAATATAACACTGATTTTTGTTGTTTGACTTCTGAATTAACATTTTTGTAACTTTGGACATCCTCATCCTGAAATTCATTTAATAGTTGATTTGAAACTCCTAATTCATCACGGCAAGCTACCAAGTTACATACTTCTCCCAAGAGCAGAGATTAATTCGTTTGAAACTGCTTCGCAGACTTCAAGCTCTTCAGCCAAAGAACAGCTATGTATATTCAATGCATATTCTTTGCTGCAGCTGCCACGTTGGTATCCATTTCGTAAACAACGGAGGCAAGTTGTCAGTCCACTTTGATTGGTGTAAACAATCTATCAGAGTACAGGTTCGTTCACTCGGTTCGAGCAGCTCGCTACGAGCTGCTCCGACAGATGTAAACTGGCCTTATGAATTATGGAAATTGCTTATATTTTATGAAAGTCTAGTATTATAAATTCTTGATTTATTTTACTTAAGAATTTTATACATTTCCTTTAAAGTAAAATAAAATTTGGTACTTTCTAATTATCTGCACCCTCACTAAAAATTGACAAATAAGTATTGATGAGGCAATACTAAGTCAATACACTATGTGACCAAATTTTTATGTGGTACCCTATCATGTAGCCAGATATTATTTATGTAGTAACCTAGATATGCACATAGCATATGTGGATTTACACTTTTTAAATGTAGTGGTCGTTTTTCTAATTAGTATTTTTTTAATATTGAGTACATTTATTTCTTTAACAAATTAGAATAGCATTGTTGAATATGTGGATCAATGAAAACAAAGTGTTACTTTTTTAGAGAAATACAGTGTTTGCTCAACAGTAGAAAATGCAAAAATTCACATTCTATGAAGTTATAGTTTTTAAATGACTGAATTTCATGGAAATGCAACATGAAAAATTACAAACGAGGTATTAGAATGTGGATACAAAATTGGTTTGAAGATAGAATTGTGGTTTGTTACAACTATTTGGTTTATTTATAATTGAACAAAGGAATATATGGAAGTGCAATTATTTGAATAAGAATTATAATTATATCTAAACACAACTATCTGTTGGTGTAATTATCACAGAGAGGTGTACATGGCTTCTATGGAAAAATAATATTAAAAAAATAGTGGGCACTGGATGCATTGTAGAAATAGATATAAAAATACCGAAACAGACATTTCTATCTGAAATCATTAGTAAGTTCACAACTTTTTAGTGGGGTTATAGCTAATAAGTATATATGTAATGATGTAGGAAAGTTGATTTACTCAAATGTTGATCAGCACAGTAAACTTGACAGCTGGGACAGCTTAAATATTCATTTTTATTTTGACTAACATTTCAATAACACAATTCTTTTTTTCACTTTACTCATGCCTGTTTCAAAACATTTATATTTTTTTATCTCTTGCGGTATGAAGAAAAGCCGCAGTCTAGCTATATCGAAATGTAGAAGCAAATGCATATTTATCGAATATGGAAGCTTAGTATAAGAGAAAGATTTCAAGTCGAATTAGCTGTGTCATCTTCTTTATATAAAGTGATGTAAGTGGATTTATTGAGTAATGATGCAGTCCAGAAGAATTTATTACTATTTTTTAAGGAGTTATTGCTAATTTAAAATTTAAATTTAACTATTTTTATCTTGCATATGTGTGTGTATATAAGATAAAAAAATATAAAAGCAAACTTCTAAATTTAATTGTCTATAACCTCTTTTAATTTAATTTCAAGACTTTCTTTCTCTGTCTTAGATATAGCGGCATAAGTCTAAACTGTGTCATTAAAATTAATCATGCAATCTTATGTAACGCTTAATGCAGTTACCTCATTCCCAATCCAAATTAATTGTAAACCAAAACTAACTCGAATTGAAACTTGACCTTCCTCCCTTCTTCCCCTGCATTATTACTGCAACACTTTCACTCTTCTCATTTAAGCTTTCATCCTGTTAAGACGCTGCTGCAATCATCTGTATTTGCTTATGTCACTATAGTATCAAAATTGTTCTGGAAATTGACACAATTGGAGTGCCAAGTGAATTGTGGCCATCAATGTGAATGTAAATAAATATGGAATGTAATCTGGTTCCACTGTTTATTCTTCAAAATGGATAGACACTCTAAGCATCAAGTATCTTCGCAATCAGCATTTCTACGCTTTTACAACTCAGTAGTCTTAAATCGGTGTTCCCATATATATATACTCTGGTAAAAAGGGTTAGTATTTTTTTTTAATTTCTGAGTTGGCTGATCAATAAGAAAGAAAAAAGAGTGTAGGATAAAAAATATGAAAGCAAACTTCTAAATTTAATTGTTTACTCTACTGTCTTGTTCCAGTGTTTTTAGTGGTACGCTTTCATGTTATTACTCAAGTCAGCCTCTAAAGTTTCTACAAATCCTTTTATTGTGGCTGACAATAAAAAAAAACAACTTTGTTAGAGAGAATGTAAATGGACTAAGCACAAATTTATCTGTGTCATCATGGGATAATTTCCATTAATATAAAATATATTTTAGAAAAAGAGAATACTTATTTAATTATAACTTTTAAGAGTTTTTAAATAGAGTTATTTTATATACATGTGCAGAAGTTTTTAAGGCTACATATTATCATCACGCATATACATGTGTCTTGTTATTAAATTTAATTTCTAATTCAGTTTTGAACCTTTGAATTTTCAAGTTTGATAGGCAAAAGATTTCAGTTTAGAGTAATCAAATCTGCATCTCTGCCTTAGCATTTCATTTTGTTATTACTGTTCAGTTTTCAGTAAATCTCATATAAAATCAGTGAACTGCTATCCATGTATTTTAAGATTGGAATGCTAAATTTATTTAAGGTAAAATAAATGTCATTACGATAAATAACATTTGCTTATGTAAGAGACAATTATAACTAAAATTTATTATAAAAATTTTATGAAATTAATATACATTTAAATGTTCTTAAATGTCTTTGCACTGAAATTTTAATATTAACAAGACATAATAAATGTATTGTTTATAACTTATTTTGTGCAAATTATGATTTATTTTGTATGTGTTCTTCCCAGGTCATTGCATATCATGAAATGCCTAAAATATCATTTGCTTCTGGAGGTGATGCAGTAAGTTATTTCCATTATTCTTTTTAACTTGATTTTTTAATAGGAAAAACAGTTATATTCTAATATATTTTCTTCCTCTTAAGGTTGTATTAAAAATATTTACTTTGGGCAAAAAATGTTTAGCACTAGTCTTTTGTAGCGATTTTGGTGAGGAAGTTTTTTTGGCACATTTCTGAACTGGTGAGAAACAATCTGTAAGTATCCAAAAAATAGACAGTTACCGTTCTGCACATGTCAGTGCTTTTTGCAGATGAATTGCTATCAAATTGTGTTAAATAATAAGTAGAATTTCCTGCATATTTATATATGTTTAAATAATTTTCTTACATAAATGGACTGAAAAGGATAATTAATATACAGGGTGTTACAGCAATATGGTTACAAACTTTCAGGAAAGATAAAGCACACCTAGACAATGGAAAATCACATAGTCATGCATGGTCGGAAATGCTTTCCTGATGCGGTAGTGATGACACAAAACACAAGAAAGGATGGACTCGAACATAGTGAGAAAACATGTCTGTTATATTAGTGCAGCTAAAATGTTGGGAATGCTAAATTTTTGCATACGTATCCTTAATGTTGAATTGGCAGCGATGGTCCAGTGCATTGCCAGCAAGATCGCTATGCCTGACTTGCATTGACTATTTTTTCTGGGGGTATGTCAGGACACTGGTATACGAAACCTCCATTAACAGTGCTCAGGAACTTGTTGTATGCATTGTGACAGCTGCTGGGAAAGTCCTGGACACACCAGGTGTTTTCCAGAACATCAGATCTCCCACGTGAGACTCAGATCACTGTCCAGGGTCGTAATTTCGATGTCTTAAAATTTAATTCTTTCTTTGTTGACAGTTGTTGTTGGTTTTTGTTTTTGTTTCTTGGTGTTTGCTGCACTGAGCATAAATATGTTTTCTCACCCTGTTCATGTTCATCCTTGTGCTTTTTGTAGTCACTGTTGCGCCACGAAAGCATTTCTGACCATGCATTGCTATGTGATTTTTCTATTGTCCAGGTGTACTGTATTTGTCCTGAAAGATTGTAACTGAATTGCTGAAACACCTTGTATATATTAATTATATTCTGTTGAACTGTATTATTATTTTAAATAAATTGCTGACAAAATCATATTGAATGCTATAATAAATACAGATTTATATTAAATGCTATAATAAATACAAATTTATATTTAATTCCTTCTCTCTCTCTCTCTCTTTGTATATTTTGAATGAATTGCCATTTATTATTACCATAATCAGTTTTGTTTCTGGATGTTTGCAAAAAATTTGCCAACAAATTGCACTATTACTGTGCCAATGTTATTTTCTATTGCCAAGGTTGGTACAGAAGACAGTTGGCAAATGTTTAAACAAACTAATGATATAGTGAAATTCCCAGGTGCTTTATTAAAATGCCTTTGATTACATTGTAATTTGTTTTATTATTTGCAGTAGAAATAGACACTGCATAACTTCATTCTTTCATTTTCTTTATTCTTCATAATTATTGTTGTCTAATTTGAGTGTAAAATGTATACTTGATATTTCATCATCAGTGTTAGAACTGAAGTGTTAGAACTGATTATAGTTTAACTTTTCCTTTTCTGTTGCATAGGACACTTTGGATTTTGTTTCCTATGTTGCCAAAGACCATCGTTACGGTCGTGCATGCTTTGTGCTTGAATGCGGTGGTGGACTTGCTCAAGATGTGATCACCACCATTGGACAAGCATTTGAACTGCGATATAAGCAATTTCTCAAAAGAGTACCAAGTGTCAGAAATGAAGGCAATGAAGCGTATGTTATAATAATTTTTTATTAATAAAATAATAAATTTTAATTACTTTTAAAATAGTAATTATGGTAGAATTTGAGAAACTGCTGTTTCATATTTTGCTAAATTATAATAGAAAACCATTGAGAAATAAGTATAAAGCCTATCACCACTTTCTTTTCTCCTTTACTTTCTGTATAAAATTAAAATATAGGTTCTCTGAGAATGAAAGATAGGGTTTCGTGAGGTCTTGGTATAATATATACTATATGAAAGAGACTGAAAGAACATTTATTATTCAGTCACTGAGGAAAATTATGTGCATATTTTTTTTTTTTTTTTGTGTGTGTAAGAAGCCAATGGATAATAAATACTCATTAATGCAAATTGTCCCTAATCAACAAAAGTCCATTCCATACCATGATTAACAGTAGATGTACCTAAATCAATTTCATATGATGGCATGTGTAAGATATTGAGGTAACATCCTTGTAAAATAATTTTCAATTATTGCATTCATTTGAATTAAAAAACAAAAAGTATAAAGTCACCTATTCTGTTATGCTACTGAAATTTGATAACAGACCAGAATTTTGTTTTTAATATCATCCTTTTGGAGCATACTTTATTCCACATAAATGATTATTTAAAATGCACGATTATCTAATTTGAAGCTCTGGAAATCTGCATATGATGCTTGAGAACATTTGAGATTCATATAAGGTCAGTGTGCTGTAAAACCTAATACATAACAAGAATTTCTGGCCCTGCCCTTTTTCCCTTGTTAAAATTAATACTAATTTAGTGCATGGTTGGACATGCTACAGTTAGTTTTGTTCAATCAAATCAAGCCAGTGAGAGCAGAAGGCACTGTTTTTGCAGATCTTTCAGCAAGATGGAGCCCCACCTCTTTTTGCAAATCATGTGCAAGGACAAGTTCAATTGTCAGCTTTCCAAAATTCCGGATTGGCAGAAATGGCCCTTATAACATGGCTTACAAGAAATGCTGATCTTATTCCACTGGAAATTCTCCTGTGTCTCTTTATCCCAGTTATAGTGAAAGAATCTGTAATTTTTGACCACCTTAAAGATAGATTCAGCCAAGAAATTACACCGGCCTTTTTCCAACAAGAACAAAACTAAATATCACCATGATATCTGTCATTGGAATCCATACTGAAATTTACTGATTTTGTTTTTGATGATCTTTTTCAGTGACTGAATTAAATAAAAGGATTTTCTATTTGACATAATACAGGTTTGAATGGGACAGAAAGAAAGCATACCTGTGAACACTGTAATTATTTTGATAAATAAAATTTACAGTGAAACTATAGTTATTCAAGTTTCTATAGATGTTCCACATGCCCCCCTTCAGGGACATGGCAAATATTTATGCAGTATTCCAATTCCTACCACACTCCTGATAGAATATCCTCTGTTAATTATTTGAGCACTTCAATTATTCCCTGATGCAGTTCTGTACATAATGGGAAAATGGAGGCAAAACGTTTTGTCTTTAATAAAACTCCACTAGAAAAAATCACAAGGAGTTACTTCTAGGGCTCTCGGTGGCCAACAAAGAAATGACATACATTTCACCCAACATGGCCAGTCCAGCGATGGGGTAGACTATCATTCAGGTACTAGCATATGTTTTTATGCCAATGTGGTGAAGCACCATCTTGCTGCAAAATGAAACCAGGAGCCAGTTACTCTATCTGAGGGAACAGCCACTATGATAGCATATCTTGGTAAATCCACCCCTTAATCAATTTTTCCATAAAGAAAAAAGGACCAGAAACACAACTGTTGGAAATGGTGCAGAAAACGTTCACCTTTGGGGAATCAACTGATGTTTCATTACACCATATGAGTTTTCTGTACCCCAAAATTATAAATTATAGAGATTAACTTTGCTAAAAATGTAAAATGTGGTTTCATCCATAAACATAAGTCTGTTCACAAAACCGCCTACCTCTACCTTATTTTGCAAATTCTCACAGAAAGCTTTATGTAGCACTTTGTTGGAAGGTTTTAATGCCTGTACCATCTCAAAAGTGTAGGATCAGAATTCTAGGTGTTAACGAAACACACCCCAGCCTTTATGTGAGGCCTATTGAATTTAGAACTTGCACAGAATGATTTTGTGGGACTTCGTAAAAACGTTTCATGAATTTTTTTAACCGCTTCGATTTGACTGTTCATTCTGGGTTGGTTTTCTTACACAAGCAACCCATGGGATTCATTCTCAGAGACACTGCATATTATATTAAAGTTTTTTTTTTTTTTTTTTTTTTTTCAATCACAATATTTGCAATATGCCAGTGTTTTTAAAATTGAGCAAAATAGTAGTTGATATAATTTAGTATTGCTTGTTTATGGTTTCTCATTTAAGAAAATATAGTGGAGCACTGTTTATATGTCTTTCAAGGGACCATTCACAAGTGACATATAAATGAGAAAGTCATATGAAGAAAATTGCAGTTTGTGTTATGAAACGTATATGTATTGTATGTATAGTAGTTGTTAAATTTTGGTATTACTAACCTACTACTGATAATATGAATTTTATTATCACACTTTGTTTAAGATATGAACCATGTTCAAATAAATTTAAATGAATATTTAATTAATATTAATTTTTAAACATTTTTTTACAATTAATATTTTAAAATTGATAGTAATATAAATTTAATATTTTTAAAATTGTAAGAATGCAAATTTCTGTGCATAGTTACTTGAAATTGAAAAACAAAGTCATGCCTTTACTTGAATATGTAATACTTTTTTTTCCAAGAACATTTTAAAGCAAATTAAAAAATTTTTCTACGGTAAAGTCTTTAATTGTCATCTGACATGTCTTTTGATTCGGAATCTTTTAAGCAAAGCACTGTGAATCAAAATCAGTTCTTGAAATGTTTTCTTGCTTGTATTATTTACACACAAAGAAATTTTTTACAGTGCCAGTGCAGAAGACAGAATTTTCACAAGAGAGTGTGATTATTTCTTCATTTTCTTTCATCTCTGCTACGTAAGTATTCATCTGATAAAATTCAGTCAATCAGTTCTTCAACTGTGCCTAACTTCATTCCATTGGCATCACAGTTTACATAGTCCTTGATCGTAATGTCTAATTCCAGTATTTTCTAATTATCTTCATCAGTAATCATAATTTCATCATCAACACATTCACTTGTTTCTGGGTTCAAAAATCCCCCCTTCAATGAAGTAATTTTTTATTGTTTTGTGGTTGTACTTGAGTCTAGGCAAGTAAAATCCTATTAATAGCCCCAAGAATATTTTAATTTTTCTGTGTATTTCTTCTGCAATATGCCAGGAAGAAAACAATTTTCACATTTTGCAAGAAATCGGATGGCTGGTACACCGATTTTGCAGTTATAGTTTTGTCTATTTTTTTAGCCATTCGGTAAAAATGTCCATAGTTTCTTATTTGTTTAATATTCTAATGGCAGAGTTTTAATATTTTTGAAGCTCCTTTTTTTATGACTTTCCTATTACTAAAAGAGTAATTTTTTTTCCATACCATCTGCATTTGCTTTGTGACACTAGTCACTCACCTATGAAAGCTAGGATTCTTTCGGGCATAAGTATAAAGAAAAGACAATTTCATTACATTAAAAATGTCTTCGAATTCATATCCATCTATTTTGGTGGAAAAAATTTTGAACCGTTTTTCAACCGACTCAGGGAATATACTTCTAAAAAAAATACTTGAACAGTGCGACTGCGAAATGTACAAACAGTGCAATAAGTGAAGCACATGAGAGATGTATAACCAAAGTTATACAATGTATAAAAGAAACATTTTACTATTAAAATGAGTTAATTGGGACCAAGATAAAATGACATATAAATGCAAGACATATAAACAAGAAACATATAAATGATGCTCCACTGTATTAAAATTTTACTTCTGCCTTTTTAAAATTTCACTGAATGGAGAGGTAAAAAGTCATCTTGGTATAGTTCTTTTATCAGGGCTGGGTCCAGAAAATGTATGTGTTCATGCATGCAGGTATATATGTATCTGTGTACACATATATATGTACATACATAAGTGCATATATACAGACACTTCTGAATCTGGTCCTGATAACAGAAGAATACTGTCATCTTTGCCAAAACTATAAGATAAAAGCCGTGTTACAATTTTAAATTACAAAATTTTATTTTCCAAACAGGTATCAAGCCTCAACAGTTAATGGTAATTTAGTCACACCTAGTAGAGAAGATCCTGAGTATTACAATGATCTTCCCGGAAAAGTTCCTCCAGATGTGATTGCAGATGCTGGATTTTTAGACAACACATCTTTGAAAAGCACCAGTCAGGTAATAACTAGTCTCTGCTGAAAAGATATTCGTCTTATTTGTTTTATCTTAAAAAATAGAGTTTAGTATTTTTGAGTCAGGAATGTAAGGCATGATCCGCTAGAAAATCTGCCTAGTATGAAATAGAATTAGCAGACAAAAGATACCGTATACTCTTTTATTGCATAAACAGATAGAATATGCTGCATGTCGTCTTCAATTCAAATTTCTTTATTTTCAGTGGGTTTAAATGTTTGCTTTTCACCTGCCAAATGATATTCACGCTATTGTTTTGCAGTGAATTTTTTTGTGAATTCCAAACATAAATTATGGACTCAATCTTGTGATGTTACCACACAGTGAAATAAGATGCTGTGTGAAGTGTTGCCTGAGGGTCTGCACAGATGTTCCTAATTAACTGAACTAATTGCATCAAATGACATATCATACTTTCTAGTTGTACAGTAAAAGTGGATAATGTATCTTTATTGTTTGTTTCGTATTTCCTTATTATTTCCCATATAGTATAAAAAATGAATTCTTTTATTTTAACTCCTGATTAGCTTTAATATATCTAGCAATTTCAAAAAAAAAAAAAAAAAAAATTTTTTTTTTTTTTTTTTGCAAGTCACAGAACAATTTTTGTGTATTTTGTGTTGCCTGTTTTTGTGACTTGTTAATGTGTCATTCTAATCAAAAGGTAAACACTATTGATAAAAGTATAGTTTAGGGTACCCCTTGGCGAAACTTAGTGATTTTTGGTGATACATGGATACCGATTTTGTGCAATTTTATGACTCGTTATTTTGGCTTGCGAAGTGGCGATTTTTGCGTCAAAAATCACCGCTAGACAAAGCCAAAATAACAAGACAAACAATTGCACAAACTCGGTATCCATGTACACATCAACTTATTTTCACTTAAAAAAAACCCCCCGAATAGCACAAAAATGGCATTGCGCACTCCTCTGACTTTATCCATGTACACGTCGACTTATTTTCACTTAAAAAAATTCCCAGAATTGCTCAAACTTGCATTGCGCACACCCTCTATTTTGTCCATGTACACATCGATATATTTTCACTTAAAAAGTCAAAGGAGTACCAAATTCTACAATATAGGATAATTTCAATAAAATACATTTTAAACCAAATATAATAAAATAACATAAAAAAGGAAAAACATGTTATACACTTAAGCACTACCAAAAGCAAATATTCACTTACCATGGTTTTCCAGTTCGCTTCGTACACCCAGAGCCATGTAAAAATCAAAATATCAGTCATACTCAAATGACTTTTTTCAAACCAGGTACTCTTTCTGATCAAACGCTTCACATAGTGACCATCTGAACCTTTCTTCGTACAAACCCATTTAAATCCATCTAAACGGTTTTAACACACACCACAAAAACACTTACAAAACATCCCATGATTCAAAATTTCGCAGAATCATGCACCCAATTACGTCACAATAGGGTTTCCGTAACACTCAACTACTCAGGCTATTATAAATAAAACAACAACTTGGCAATAAATCAAACAACAACTTCGCCCATAATACAAGGGGTACCTTAAAGTCTACTCTACCCACACTATTTTTAGATTTTAAAACTAATTGCATTGACCGAAAACTTTTTTTTTAAATATACTTCCACTCTTTTTACAGTTAGAAAAATATCAGCAAAACAGACAAACAAAATGAAAATTGGAGGTTGAAAATAGAAAGTTTTATTGAAAAATTTAAATTTGATTATTTTTGTACCTGTGTAAAAGATAAAGCTGTTTACTTTTTATGCTCGGATTCAGTATCTTGTGATCAAAGAACATAATATTATATGGAATTATTATAAAAAAACATGGCATAGATTATAAAACCATCCAAAGCCAAAATAAGTTAAATTAAATAAATTGGATAAAGCTTAAAACAACAAAATGTGTTTAAAGCTCAAAGTTTTCATCAGATTTGGCAATGAAAACTAGATATGCTGTTAGTAAAATTTTGGTTTAAAACAAAATGAAACCAAATACTGATGAAAAGATTATTATGAATTGTTTAATGCTGTTGCAAATGTAGCTTTTCCTGATAAAAAAGATGTTATTCTGAAAATATTACCAGAACTTAATAGAACATATTGAAAAATCTGAATGGTATACCTTAGCACTTGATGAGAACTATGATATCAGTAACACATCACAAATAATTATATTTGTTTTTACTGAAGAAATTGGGTTCATTGATGCCAGTGACCTGAACTACAGCACTTAAAAACCTGTTTAATGAACTAAAATTGCTGTGTGAGAACTTATGAATTTTATTTGATAATACTCCTGATATATCAACCAATACAGCATGAGCAATGGCAAACATGGATTTAGGAGTCATGGAAATGTTATTTCATAATATTAAAAACTTGTTGCATAATTCGTCAACAGAATCTTTGCACAAAAACTGTAAATATGCAAATGTCCCCATACCTTTAATAGTGCTTATTAATTTTTTTCTCGAATCTCGAGCATTATTGCCAATTTAAAAAAACTTTAAAAGTGGATATGATAATATTTGGAAAGTGAATATCATGATGAAGTACACTGGTCGAGTAGAGGCAGTATGCTGTTAAAGAATATATAACTTGAAAAAAATGAAATTCAGTTGTTTGTGGAAATAAAAGAATATCCATTTATCAAATTCAATAATAAGGAATGGGTGTGTGGTTTTACCTTTATTGTCGATATAATTCAGCATCTGAATGACTGAAATATGGAACTTCAAGGAAAAAGCGAGTTTATAGGTGTAACTTGTTTAATGAAATTAAAGCTTTTGAAAGCAAATTAAAAATTTATGTATTGCATATGTTGTAAAATAGCACGTACTGTTTTCTGTACTTAGGAAATGAAACTGCTTCAGAAGCATAAAAACATGTCCAACAAATACAAGTATTAATAACCCAATTTGAATTGCAATTTTAAAATATTTAGATTGGGAAAAAAGGTTCTTTAGTTAATATTTTTCCCTTCCCCTTTAATATAGAAGTGGAAGCAATTCCTGTTGAATTATAAATGGAATAGATAAATTTACAAAACAACACTGGTTTGAAAAATAAATTTTAGAATAAGGCCATCCAAAAGTTTTATCAAAATTGCATCATTTTCAAAATAATAAAAAAAAAAAAAAAAAAAAAAAAAAAAAAAAAATCCACAATAAATCACACATCCACTGCAAGTCATGACACTTTTTAAAAGTGCTTAAGTTTAAGAGCAGTTGTTTCCCAGAGTGAAATTACAAAAATTGAATGAACTTAAATGACATAAAGCTGTGTGCAAGCTGCAGTGTCGTCGGTATCTGCAAATGGATACTAGTTTGGTAGCAAAAAGCAGTGCCAAACTTATTTTTATAAGAATTATATTTAACTGTTTTTATGGTATTTTCATTATATATTTTATATGTGTTAATTTTTAAAAGATTGTTATTTTGTTAACAAGATAGTTTGTGTTTATCATCTAATGTTGATATTTTAAATTTAGAATTCGCCCATTAAAAAAAAAAAAAAAAAAAAAGTTGCTCATCCATGCACTAAAGTATAGTAATAACAGGGTTCATATGGCCCTTAAATGTCCTTAATTTCGACCAAATTTGACAGGAGGTCCTTAATTTTAATAATCTGAAATTTCTGTCTGTTTTCACAACTGCCATTTTGAACGTGAATTAGAATTTTTGACAAATATTTTTGGCGATTCATTGATAAATATCTTTTGTATGGGTGAATAGGTTCATGGATTATAATTTGTTCCTATTTCTAATGTAAACGGTGGGACACTCAAAAGGTATCAGCAACCCCTATAACAACAATGTTAAATTGGCCATTTTCGATGTACCTTCTCTCAAAATCTGCTGTAGATACATGCTTGAAATTTTTTGTGTAATTAAAGTATAACCTATCTGGTTATACTGAAATGAGCTTTTGAAACATTTTGAATTTTAAAGTAATTTGCAGAATATTTCATCAGGCATAGTAAAATTTAGCACTTTTCTCACACACACACACACACACAAACACACGCACACATGCACGTACGCACGCACACACACACACCCACCCCCACCAAAAAAAAATCCTTAAATTATCACAAAAAGCTCATTTTAGTAAATATTGGGAAACCTAATAAAGAAGCCATGAAAATTTTAGATACCTGTGAGCAGTAGTTCCTGAGAAAAGGTACATCGAAAAAAATCCTCTTTGGAGAAAAATGCGTATGTAAAAATCCTCATTTATCAAAGCATTCGATGACAAATGAAACTAGATTTTTTTTTTACAGTTCTAATTTTCATAGAGATTAAAGAATGATATTTTTAGAAAGATAAAAGTGTAGAGAATTTGAAAATGCAAAAATCCGAAATCACCATTTTTTGAAGATTTTTGGGCTCCAACACCCCTCAAGTTTCTGAGCAAGAAGCGAAACAAGCATTTCAAAATTATTTCATTTTTTTCTAATGAAGAGCTCCTAAACAACTTTTCGCTTTTGGGAATGTGAATTCTTTATTAAACAGTTCCAAATTTGGCGACTTACCAACGTTTTTGCAATTTTGAGATCAGTTTCTATAGTTTTTTAAACATTATAACATTGACCAATTTCTTTAAAACAATGCTAATATATGGAAATTGTATTCAAGAAATAACATTAAAATGAAACGTTTTTATTTTCCGCTATCATATTATAAAATGACATTACTTTCCATTAATGTTTTCATGGTAAGAGTTTTCCCTATGTATTTGTCTCATTATGCATCACTTTTCTCTATAAAATAAATTTTACACCTTTTTTCCTTTCCCGCCCCCCAATATATTTCTGGTTTTTTGCTCTTACAGAATTAGTAGGGGTAATTTTTCTATAAGATTTTAAACGCTGCAGCTTGGAAAGTTTAGAAAGATTTGAAGGCAAGATGTATACCCACAAATGTAGAACATTCCAGAAAAATGTCTTCATGGTATTAACATGTAATGGGTGTATTTTACAGAAGGTTTGCGATGAATTTTCACTTTTTGGATAATTTTTGGAAGACCAATGAAAACATAATATTTGGCTGTGTTTTACTTCTGATACTAGAAGTCTTTTTCTTAATGTGTTTATCTCCGCGTTGTTTTCTCTACTTTTCACTAGTCACAAGCATGGAAAATATCAAAAATGCTTCTAATCTTATCAGATGGACAGGCATTTATAGGAAGGAATTTTCTGTTAATAAAGGAATTCAAAACTGACAATTAAAAATACTCATCTTATATGTCTGAATGCGTCATCAGTTGTATAGCTAGGGTGGGGCAAAGGGGGACATCTGCCCTCGGGCGCAGAATCCATAGCATACAAAATTGATGTTAGAAAATTTTTAAATGAAATGTTTTTTGTTCTTGCCATACAGAAGGGGGCGCAAAATCTTCAGCTGTTCCCGGATGCTGAAAACCCTACCTACAGCTTTTTGGGGCTGGCGCTGCGCGTTTTCCCACTTGAAGCAATCTTTGTGAATCCTAAATTCTGCTGCCTAGTGCCTTCCTAAATTGTAAAATTTTGCTGTTTCTAGATTTTGTTGTTTGTTCTGTTACTGAATTCTAAAAATTCTGCTACACCGGCTCTGTAATTGTATATCATATAATCATTTCATATTTATTCTGAATGTACATATTACTAAAGAAGTAAAATTAGCACCTTTTCCTATACATTCTAAATGCATTTAGTTTTTTCAGAATAACATAAATCTTTAATTAAATTCTAAAATGAAGAAAAAGTGTATTGAAGAAAGAATTCAAATGCATAATGAGAAAGAAAATTATTCTTCAAAAATATGTACAGTTATTATTATATAAATTTAGCAGTTGTTTATAATTTCAACCTTTGTTATAATTTTCACTTTCCATTTCCTCACCAGAGTGAAAATCACTTAGATAGTTTTTAAACTAAGGTTTTGGGGGTTCTAAGACAGAATTTGTTTCTGGCCTATGCTTGCACACTGCATTAGTTCCTACCAGCACTGGCTATCTGTGATTATTTGTCTTTACATTATCACTGCTGATATTTAAATTTGTTACACAATGACTTTGTTACTTTGAGTTTGTTACAGCGTGTTACTGAGCCAGCTTAGATTAAAATTAAATTATAAAACTTTCACTTCTAGTCCACATTTTTAGTTTGAATTTGACTGTTCCTGTTTAATTGGATCACCATAAGCTGTAGTTGATTTTTCTAGCATAAAAACATGCTTTTATATTCTAAGGTCTTTTTAAATAAGATGTTTATTTAAACCTTTATCTGACTTAGGAGCTACTTTCAGACATAGTGATAATTTGCTTCACATCTGTCAGGGATTTTGAACTATTTAGCTTTTATCAGATCAAGTAAAGCCACATAGGTACATAGTCGAGAGATTGACAAGTTAGGAGGTAAAACGCATGGAAACTAGTGGAAATATTGGTTTGCATATTGAAACAAATTTCTAATTGTTATAAAAGATGCTTAAAGAGAAAGAAATTGGTATAAAATAGCCAGAATGTCTGGAAAAGCTTCATATTAAAAAGATGCACTAATATAATTCAAGAATCAATGTCATAAATTACATGTATTTTAAACTGTGACATGTTAATAGATTGTGATTTTAATAGTGTTTTTTTAACAAATATTTAAAAAAAAATAAATTTAATAGTGGCCATGTAAATTTATAATGACTAAGGCATCTATTGAGACTTAAAATAATATAAAACAACTTATCACCTTTGATGCTTTAGTGTTTTATTGGAACATTAATATACAGTGTGTTTCAAAAAGAATATACATATTTTGAATGCATACATTTATTAAACTGTATGACATAGGAATATTAAACTTTACGATGTATATGTACGAACCTCTGAAGTTCAAATTACAGATGTTCAGTATGTCCCCCATCAGCGACACGAAAAATATCACATCGATACTCAAATTCCTCCCATACTTGGGCAAGCATGTCCACCGTCACTGATGTTATGACAGTACGGATCCGGTTCTTTACTTTTTCCAGGTTCTGTGGGAGTGGTGGTACATAAGTGTTGTCTTTAATGAAACCCCACAGGAAGAAGTCACAGGGTGTCAAATCCGGTGACTGTGCAGGCCAGCTGAGAATGCTAAGTCACCAGCTCCTTAACGACCAGACCAACGGTTCGGTAGAGTTTCATTCAGATAATCTTGCACTTGGTGATGCCAGTGAGGGGGGGGGGGAGTGCCCATCTTGTTGAAGAACGAAGTTGTTTGCATGCAGCCTCAGAAACAATCAGTTTTGTAACATAGCGAGATACTGCTGACCGTTAACCGTGTTTCCATCAAAGAAGAATGGGCCGTAAACAGATGATCGGGATATCGCACAAAACACATTGATTGGGGCGAATCTCATACATGTTCACTGGCTGCATGTGGGTTCTGTAGGCCCCAAATTCGAACATTGTGTTTGTTTACATGACCACTAACATGAAAAGTCACCTCATCACTGAACACTATGCATTGTGCGAAAGTGTTGTCATTGTCAATAGCATCAATAATCTCGTTACAAAGTGCCACATGTTTACGTTTGTCATCAGGACGCAGAGCCTGTAACAAATATAACTTGTATGGCTTCATAACCAACCAACGTCTCAAAACACAGCAAATTGCTATTGTAGGCAGTTGTAACTCCCGACTGCATGACGAGTTAATTTTGAAGGACTGCATTGGAAAGCAGTTTGAATTCATGCAACATTTTCGTTAGGAACACGAGGGCAGCCAGGACTCTTTCCTTTACATACACATCCTGTATTTCCAGACTGTCAATATCATTTGCGAATGTTCCACCCATTCGGAGGATCACTTTGGTACCTCAACTTGAAGCGTCTTTGCACTGTAATCACGGAATTGCACTTTGCAAACTCATGAACACAAAATGATTTCTGCTGCCGAGTAGCCATTTTAAACATGTGATGGCAAAACAGAAGACAACTGACATCTAGCAGCTATTAATATAAACTAGACGCGCACACGCATATTCGCAGCTGTAAAGGTTATTTGTTTATGTGCAGAAAGTTTGTAGCTTTGAGGTCCGGATTATAGATCATTCCGGATTATGGGTGTCCGAATTAACGACTTTTGACTGTATTTGTTTTGTATGCTCAATTTTGACAATATCTGATAAATGAAAATAAAGACTTGTAGTCTCAATAAAATGCCCCATTAATGGCGATAAATGACTTTTTGTAGCACCCATCTTCTTGGGAATTCAGGTTAGAAAGAGGGGACAGGAAAATGTTGCGCTATTCGTGGATTAAATAAGTGCTGTTTGTATCGTACCTTCTCAACGTATAGATGATGCTCCAAGACCTGGAACTGATTGTAATATTTTAGGGAGAACATTTCATCAGTAGCAGGTAGTAAATGTAGATTCGTGGTTCATTAATGGATAGGGTATTGTGCTGATCAAATGGAGACCAATAACATTAGACACTGTTTGAGTTCAATAAGGGAGTACAACCAAATACCAAAAATCCGCCGACCTGAAATCCGCGTTGCCTCTCAAAATATAAACATTCAGTTTATAGGTTCCGGAAACCGCAACATTGAGTACAAAATATCGAAGAAAAAATACTTACCGAATAATGATGTTGTAATTACCGAATAATAATGAGTCATAACGGAAATACCAAATTATTGACACAAAAAAAGTTTTAAAAAATAAGATAAAGGTTTTTTTTTCCTTCTAATCTCTGCATCGAGGTAAAAAAGCAGATGTTTGACTCAGCTCTTTGTTCAAGTTCACAATTCACATTGTTGTGTTTTCTGAGCTTTGTTATTTCACGAGATTGTTTAGTGCTGCCTTTTTTTTTTTATCCTGATACTTTGTGGATAAATTAAGTATATTTTAAATTTCAGCCCTTTTTAATACAATAACAGATAAGAAATGCACTCATGATTTAACTGCTTGCAACGTTAAAAAACGTAAACCCGTTGCATTGACAGTAATGAAAAAAGTGCAAATTCTGCAAAAGATGGAGGCAGGTGCTACTTCTAGATTTATAGCAGAATGGTATGGAACTGTGACATGATTTTGTATGATATAAGGAAAAATAAAGAAAAGCTGTTGAAATTTTATAGCAACAGTGATTCTAACACCCGAATCCAAGACCGGAAATCTTTGCATGAGGCGAAATTGGCAAACCTCGATGCTGTGTACTATCAGCATTTTCTGAAGAGAATCTAAACTAAGCCATAACAAGTCAGTCCAAATCCAGCTGTAGGGGAATTAGCAAAAATCTTCTACATACACAGAACAACTGTGAAAAGAAGTGTTGTAGCACTAGGTTTCACTGTAATTTCACAAGTGCCAAGTTGATGCTTGGGTTCCACAAGCAAGAACTTCATCCCAAGAAAGTGGTGTTGAGTGTAGAATGTGAAAAGAATAATTTATTGGAAGGTCCTGGCACATAAAACCATTATGCAATCTTCTACTGTCAACAGTCGGAGAGACTGCAATAATCATTGTGAACGAAAACAGCCGAGCCTTGTTAATTGCCAAGAGTGTGTCATCCAGCCTGGTAATACTAAGCCACATACTGTAATGCCACGTCAGAAATTACTAGACTTTGGTTAGGAGATTTTATTCAACTCACTGTTGGCCCCCACAGAATTCCAACTTTGTCATAATTTGTGAAACACCTTTACTTGAAAAAGCTTTGATCATTTGGAGGCTGCAAAAATTTCCTTAATGTAAGTTCTCCAGTTCTAAAATTGTGGATCTGATCAATATAGGATTCGTCGTCTTCTGGAAAAATGGTTAGAGGTTATTGATCATGATGGTGATTATACACAGTCCTAGGTGAGGTACAGTTTGTGTTGTTTGCATATGCATATCAAAATCAAGTAGAACTTTTGCCCCTGTTCAGTATGTAAATATAGTTTTAAAATGTTTTGTAACTTCCATCATGCAACATCTAAATAATTTTCATTTTAATATTACTAATTTCTTTGTAGGCCAGCCTTGCTGTGAAAGAAATAAACTCAAATACTACATATCCAGTTCCATATGCAACTACGCCATTGCAAAGAGAATTTCCCGAGAGTTTAATCGATCTCACCGCAAATTCTAGCAATGTGTCTGTGTACCGTCGACCAGGACCAGGTTTGTAGCTTGGAATCAGTACTTAAAAAAGATTTATTTTGTTATCTTGAGTATTGCTTCACATTACTTGTAAATTTATGATTTTTTTCATTGCCATTTCTTTTTAGAATATGTTAACACTACTGCTGTTATTTCCAATGAAAGATGTAATGACACAAATGCAAAGCAGAAAACTGTAAAGCATGACATATTTGATATGCGTAAGTATTAGTTTTATATAATACTCTTTATATATATATATATGCATGCTCTGTTTTAGAAACCATTATTATTAAAAGAGCTGAACATTTTGTTAGAAATGAAAGCTTTAAGACTTATATTTCATTTTAATTGTTTATTAGTTTTTCATCTACTTATTGTACATGCCCTTCCTTTTTAATTTTATGAATTTTCAATTTATAGACCAGATTAACCTTAATTTTAAATCATCAATACAGTCAAAAGTCGTTAATCCGGACTCGTCGGGACTTCGGCGATTCCGGATTATCGATTTTTCCGGATTATAGATCATCAGTTTAAATCTCGTAAGATGGCATGCAGAAATTCTAAAATTAAAAATATGAAACCGTAATTTATGAAATAAAGAACAATTATGATCTAAAGGGTATCAAAATTTGCAAAAAGAAAAAGCTTAATATTTATTTGTTTACTTTATTAAACATTTCTTTCAATGTAAGTTGTTTAAGTTTTGCTTCGTTTCATGTGATAATACTTTCTCTTTAATTTCTATTAAACAGACATAATTTCTTGTTCAGTTACAAAGTTCCGCCGTTCAAGTCCTATAATTGCTGTGTCAAGAACACCGACTAATTTGTCAATCGAAATTTTTTTTGTCAATAACCTCTGTCACGTTCTTTCTTCGCTATCGGAAACGAATTATAATGACGAGGAACTTTGTTTAAATCATATCAACGGAGATATCGAGATGAAATACTACATTTGGTAAGGAATTATAAGCCAACCAAATAAAAAAACATCTGCGCTGAAGATAAGGATAGTGCTGACAAATCAACTTCCAATTCATTACGTGCCCGCCGCCGTGCAAATTGATAAACAGATTTCGGATTTCAAAACATACTTTCGCTTTAGATCCTTTACATATTAACAAATATATATCGGAAATTCTATTTGATATAATCGAAAGTTTAAGCTTACCTTTATAAAATTGCTCTTACAGTCTGCAAAAAATAATAAGCCGGATGCAATTCGAAAATTAAGGAACAACGCAATCATCAACATCAACTGAAATAGATAATTAGATAATTTTAGCTTATACGTCCATTATACATAAAATGCACACGCTAAAACGTATTCTGCACTCGCGCACACTCATATGCGCAGTCGTAAAAGGTCTTACGCGCACGCGTGAACGCCTCTGCGCATGTGTCAACGCGGCGCATGCGCAGGAAGTTTTTAGTTTTGATGTCCGGATTATAGATCATTCCGAATTATGGGTGTCCGAATTAACGACTTTTGACTGTATATGCAATTTTATGATTATTTAACATGATGAAGGTATTATCACGTTGATAGCTCACTTTTCTATCGCCTAGCAGTCCCAATGGGTCAGATAAATATGCTATCATTGGCAATACAGTTCTCTTAGTATGCACAGTTACCTCCGCATGCTTCAAATTAAATGAAAAATTATCTTCCTGAAGATCAGGGACGTAGCTAGAGTTTCTAGTGCCCAGGGACAACTGAAGAATTCGTGCCTCTTTCTGTGTTCCAAGAATGGAAAACATTTATTTAAAAATTTTCATAGCAGCAATTTGGCACCCCTTGGATGCTGTGCCCGGGGACAGATGTCTCCCTTTGCCCCACCCTAGCTACACCACTGCTGAAGATTCCAATAGACTCCTATTGTTTTGGTCTCTTTAGTTTTTAAAAATGCACAATTTGACTCAGTATTATTATTGAGCTGATTGTAATTGCTACACGACTTGTGAAGCTCATTCCTCCTTTTTTGAAAATTTAAATTAATTGATATTATGCTTCTTTATTGTCTCGTCTCAGCTCCTAGTAAAATGTTGCCCATGTAGGTATCCAACATTATTCTCGGAGCAGCTAATGAAAATTACTTGGACTCATCTATGCTTAATTGTCATAATGTGCGCATTGCTAAGTATGGAGAAATTATGATCCCATATGTCACAATTGCTTATTCAAAGACTTTTCCTGGTTTATCGGATTTCTGCTTTCCAAAGTATTCCTTGAACTTTTCTCTATTCTGGAGTTATCCAAGTCTTGCTCTACATCTTTTCTCTACGTCTGCAGTAAATGGAGAGAGATGTTTCGTAAACCTAACCATTAAAGCAAAAATATTGTCTTGAATCGCACCTCCTTTTATTGTAGTGAGTTTAACAAATTTCCATTAATTGTAGGACATGAAGCATTGAATACCCTAACCCTTGTGGAATTTCTTGTAGGTTTATGCACACCTTAATGGGGTATAAAATATGAACCAGTCTCATTTTCTTTTTCTATTACTTCATATGTGTGTCCCATTTAGTCATAACTCTGCTAAAAATTCTCTGTATAATTTTAAAAATCAGGATCTAAACTCAATCTTTTCCACAAGTCTTTTAATTTTCTCAAAGCTATGTCCTTTGACTCTCCTAGGCATGAGGGATTCTCCTTTAAAGGCATAGTTACAACATAGCTATCCAGTTTATTCCTTTCATGAGTTTTCTGCAAATGGTCATTACAAATATATATTTTACTGTTTCCTTTTCAGCAGTTTCTACCTCCCAAAACTTTCTCATTGTTTGTTTAAAGTCATCTGTTGCTTTCATTACCCACAATGTATGCGGTTTTGTTCTTCTGATGCAATGCTACCTGACATAATAAATCCTAATATGTTGTTTTGCAAATTAAGACTTGAATTTTCATAATTAATCTGTTCCAATTTTAATATTTCAAAGAAAACCTCAGCTCCTAAAAGCATTTCTATATGTTCTGGTACATTAAAATTCTCATCAACTAATTTCATGTTACACAAAAATCATGCACTTTAATATCAATTTTCCTTGAAGGAATCAAATCTTGCATAATTTTTGGTACTTCTGAAAAGTCTAAATTTTTCTTATAACTTGTATCTTTATTGCTAATACACGCCTAGACTCTTCTCCGAATTTGTAAATGGAATTATTAAACTTTATCTTTTTATCGTTAAAATTTATCTTTATCTTTTTATGTTTACTTTATCTGTCTTCAAATGGAATCCACTCACACATTGCATGGTTATGAAACAGCAAGTGCTGCCCAGTCTAACAATGTTTTGCCTGGATGTAACTTTACCTTACCATCATTAATAAAGCAAATCCGGGTACTTAATATTTCTTAATTTACAACAGACAAACTGCTCTGCAAACAGAACATTACCACTGTTTGAAAGTCTGGTGCTAGGGGAAATGTATACTGAAACCATTAGTTGGTGTTTTGTTTTTCTTTTTTTCATACTCTTTCGTTAATGTTTTACTTTCCAAGGAGAAATGGAGCATCACGTGGTGTCTTCCCCCACATGCAGAACATAAAATTTTTTATTTGTAATTTTTAATAAAATGATGTAATGATAAGCAGTTAAAACACAAATTATATTTCTTAGCTATTTCTGCTGTGTTATTTCGGTAGTGTCTTGGAATTGGGGCACTGCTAGAAAGCATGATTTTGATTGCAAATAATACATTTTGAACTTTCAACATCTGTTAAAAATACTTACAGTACTGTTTTCTCTTGATTGTCTTTACAATATGGAGTGGAACTGTTTTTAAGAACTTTTCTACATGAAGTAATTAACCCCTTGAGAGCCAGCGCCATGGCCTGTCCAAATAGATAAATTTGGAAATAATGTTTGTGAAATAATTCAAAATGAGGATTGACACACAGGACAATGACACCTTTTTTTCGGTCCTAACAAGTGCTTATAAGTCCTTATAAACAGAAAAATACTTATTTACTTTTCAAAAATCAAACATGAATATGAATTACTTCTTTGTATTATTTTTCAAGGAAATGCAATGCATTTTCATTTTGTAATGTTTGTATTTATTTGATTTTGCATAGTAAATGAGCTAATGTTCTACATGTTTACAAAAGCATACAGGCAACTTTTCTTTGCAAAAGCAGTCTTACATGGCAATTGCTGTGGGCAAAATCCCCAAGGTTACTTAGCAATTCTAGAAAAGTTAATTTAAGTCTTATTTTTTATTAAAGTAGGCAAGTTTTAAAATGCACTTTTTTATATGTAAGTATTCTTTAACTGTTTGAATTTAAGAATTAATTATGTTTTTAAATATCAATTAAATGTTGTTTTAAATTATTTTAAATGAATTGTTTCTGTCAGTTTATTTTTACCATTTTAAAAAATATTGTCACTGAAACTTTCTCTCTCTCTTAATTTTTTAGTTAACTCTTAATTTTTTAGTTTAGTTGATTAGTATCTCTGCATGTTCTTTTGAATTTTATCACTTGAGTGGAATATTTTCACAAGGAATAAAACTGAGCTTTGGTCTAATGCATGAGCTGCTTGAACTCTGTTACTTCCCAATTCTCTCCTGCTAAGAAATTTTAAGGCTTCAAAGAGACCAAAAAACATACCATTTGAAAATGAGCATCATTAGCTGTTTAGAGGAGACAAGTTGTATGTCAGAGTTCGTAGCGGTCTTTACAAGTGCTTATAAATCCTTATATTTGAAAATAAAATATAAAAGCCCTTATAGGTGCTTACTTTTTCTCTAAGCACATTTTTTTTTCTTTTTGTGCTTATTTTCTGCTTTTAGTGCTTTTTTTTTTTTTTAACAAACGCACATTTTTTTCCCGTACCAAAGCCGAAGCTTAAATAAACAACTTTCCTTCCTTATATGGAACGTCAGATGGTGAATTATACTCCCAGAAATAGTTTTTTGTCCCTTTCTCTGCATGAGTACAGACAGGTGCATGTCACTCTATCGGTTCAAAGAATTGCAAAACAGTAGAAAATTCCGGTACATTCCGTATTCTTTGCTCCCACCCAATCTACACCGTTTGCATTTCATCAAGATTTTAATAATTTAATTTTCATTCTGCATGTCAGTTCATATTCACGTTATTGTGATCGGTATGCTTATATATGAGCATATGTTGAATATTTACATAATATATTTACAGTAAGTGCTGAAGTATAGATAAACTTAAAAAATGGGTGTGTTTTAACAGATTAGTTTTTTAAGGAATAAATTCGGAATGACATAAATAAAGTGAAAGTAATCAAACAGTCAAAAAAATTTTTATTTATTTATTTCCCCCGCCACTCAATGCATTATACAGTACGGAAGTTGGGGGGTTCTCCCCTTTCTCTGCAAAATCTCGAATATTGAAACCATTACAGTCTGCAGCAAAGCAATGGACTTTTTTTTTTTTTTTTTGGTCTCGTTCCAACCTGGATTGAATAGGACTAGAAGTTCTGCGGTTCTACCAACCTAAGCGAAGATAATCTATTCGGAAATTATGCAGTCTGTTCAAATAGAATGAAAAACACCCCCAGATTGGAAATCTTTTTATCATATAGTACGGTGCATGGCTATCCTGCTCAATGAATATACCACAGGGACATTGACAGTGAAAACTGACTAAGTAAAGGGCCTTTTCCTTATTTAGTTATTTATTCTCGAATACCGGCAGCGTTGATTCCGATTGCGTAATATCACGTGCAGAAAATTAAGGAGCACGCATTGGTAATAAGTGTGCGATATTTCACAGAGATAAAGAGTTGTTTATCTTGCTACGCAGATATTTTCAGTTTATTGGGCTATTTTTAGATGATGGAATATTGAAATGTCAAAAGCATATTAGCTGAAAATCTAAAGAACAGCTACAATCTAACACTTCTCTTTTACCAGTTACGCCAACAATCCGGAATTTCATATATTCGGCAATTTCCCGAGTATGTCGGTAGTTAACTTTTACTGTTAAAGAATGATTGTGTGAATTTATTTCCGTCTTCTGATCCAGAAAGTCCTTTGTTTTATTTTACTTAAATTACTTTGCTTGCTAATCTTATAAGGGAAATCTGTTATACAATGAAATTTAGAAAATGTTCAGAATTTTGATTAATTATTTAATATTAATGAGTGGAAATAAATTGTATTATTTCCTTTATTTTGAATTGAAATTTCATTATTAAATCTTGTAATATAATTTAGTTCTGCATAGTTTTTTCCTCTTATTTTAAACTAATTCTGTAGATTGAACTGTTATTTTTAGAATGTAATCGAGTAATGTCCATTCTCTCTTAATAAATACTGAATTTCTCATATTTTAAATTACAAGTCTAATTTTAAAGTTATGCAGTTGTGTATAATGTAATTAGACAGGTGCTTATTTTTTTAACTAAAATGTGGCTACGAACCCTGGAGAAACACACACACACCCCAAAAAAAAGAATAACAAAACAACAAATTCCTAATAAAATAAACACATTGGTGCCCCTTTAACTTAAAGATTTGTGATTCCCAGTGTGTTTCCGCATAAAAAAAAAAAAAAACACCGAAGGAGGAGTAACATCACCTGTAGGAGACCATTATTTAGCTCTTTCGGTCCGAAGAAGGAGTAACATTACTGTGCCTCAACTCATGGCAGATCATTTAGTGGCAACAAGAACAAGAATCTCAGCTACTACAGTGTGCTGATGTCTGCACAATACAGGTCTGTATGCAAGATGACCAGTTGTTTGTGTCCCCTTGACATGTTGACACAGAAGTGCTCGTTTATGTTGGGACGTCTCCCGGAGCAGTCAACAGTGGGCATCTGTTCTCTTCACAGACGAGTCCAGGTTCACACTGGAGAGTGATTCAGGTTATCAACTGATCTGGAGGAAACAACACACCAGATACATCCAATCCCATATTGTGGAAAGACACAGTTACAGAGGTAGTGGAATAATGGTTTGAGCTGAGATCTCTCTTGGTGGTGACACAGACCTGCATGTGTTCCATGGAGGAACTTGTGGGAGATATCAAGACAAGATCCTTTAGCAAAAAGTCCGCCCGTGTGCTACTGCTGTGGTCCTGGATTTCTTCCGATGGATGATAATGCGTGACCACACCAAGCTTGGGTTGCTGAAGTCAAGGTATGGAGAGGATAGAATGGCCAGCTCAATACCCAGACCTGAATCCAATATAGCATCTTTGGGACTACCGTGGGAAACAGTTTGCTGCTTTAAGTCCTTCTCTAAGATTTTTAATGAGCTTGAACAAGGATTACTCAGTGTCTGGTTGTTGCTTCCCATTTGACTGACCACCAACTTAATTGACAGCATGGAACGTCTCTACCGCCAATGTATTGCAGTTAGGGGTGGGTACATTCCTTATTAGAACCCATTTTTCCTCAGGAAAACTGTGATATACTGTTTCTCCAAAATTGGATTTTTCTGTCAAAAATGCAATTTTTTGTAGCAGTTCATGCTTATGTTCAACTCTAGAAATATTCTATGTCACATCCATTAAAGAACTGTTTAGTGAACATGTCCTCTAAATTTCTGGTTTCTGTGTTGCTTCATTCTCAAATTAGACACAAAACATGCTGTTCCTTAGGAGAGCAGTGTATATGCTTCAATGATTTATTAGTAGATTTAGTGATCTTCCTCTTTTTTTTTTTAGTCCAAAGGGATTCAGTCCCGAAGGATATTGCTTTCGTTTGGCTTTTGTGTGGACTCATAAACGTCGGTTCCTTTTAAACGTTGCCACAAAATTAGAGTCCTGCATTATTGAAGAAATTAAATAATGAAAAACTGCATAAATGATGTCTATTTCTCGCATGTGATAAACAATGGTACATAGAGCCATCGATTTGAATGACGAAATCCTACGCCATATGGGCATCTGAATCCCAATTTGGAATTGTTTTATAGATTTATCTTTTGTAAAACTTTAACGAATTTTTTGATTTACAAATCAATGCTTTAAAAGCAAAAATACGTTATATAGAAAAAAAAACTTTTATCCCAGCTCGCGAGACTGTAATAATCGGAAATTCTAAAGAATGCTAATTTAACATTTTTTGCCGAATGCTCGTGAACGGAATTTTATGGTTTAATGCAAATAAATGTATTTAATAAATAAGGTAACACTCCAAAACGTTAAAAAATGCCCTTTGGAACAATTAAAATCTGAAAAATTTCAGATTTTTTTTTTGAGTAACAAAATGAAACATTCTTATTAAAAATGCATGTAATTTACAAGAAGTGTTTTTAACTATTCAGTTTTTATATTTTTAATTTTAAATTAAGTGTAATTAGTATAATTACATTTAATTATTGTAATTACATTTAATGCATAAATGAAAATATGTGGCTTACATGCACATTTTCAAAAATTGTAAAAATGCTGTTTACTTAATGACTATTGACAAGTTTTGGTGTAGGTTGGAGCTTGTGTGAAAGTTGTATGTTTCAATTTTAAAAGAATTGTAACAGAAACATTATTTCTGTTACAAGTCAAAGTTTAGAGGTGACCCTTAAATTGTGTATAAAAAGCTATATTTATTTTTGATTTATTGTTACCTATGTAAAATTAAAATTGAGTCAAAACTGAATTTAAAGTTGTTTCTTTATTTTATTCATATTTGTTATAATACCTTGCAGATTAGAATTAAGTTTTTTTAAGACTTCAGCTGTTGCAACAAATATATGCTAAATATTTTTATCTTTTTTTAGAACCATTTGCTGCTAGTCTAAGTTCCATTCAATCTGAAGAATCACCCATAGATTCATTATTGAATACACCAAATTTCAACACTGTACCAGTTTTGAATTACAACCAGTTAAATAAACCTCCTTCTAAAAAAATGGAAGCTGAAAAGGCTGCTTTATTAGAAGAACCGTGGTTTCATGGACCAATCAGCAGACAAGAGAGTGAGGCACTTGTGGTTAAAGATGGTGACTTTCTTGTTCGAGAATCTCAGAGTACACCTGGACAGTATGTACTGACTGGTATGCAAAGATCCATGAGGAAGCATCTTCTATTAGTTGATCCTGAAGGAATTGTAAGTGGGATAGTTATTAAATTTTTCAAACTGAATAACCTTTTACTGAATTTTTTTAACAAAAATAGATTATCCATTGTAATAATGAATGCTTTCTATTGATAAAATCATTTTTACACATAACCAGGTGCATAATGAGCACAGTGCTTGTCTTTGGATACATGATACTTCACATGTCACACAAACGTTGTTCAACAATATTTTGCCAATGGATTTTTTATTGGGTTTTACTAGTTGCCAACACTTAAGATTATTTAAACATTTCCGGAAGAACATAACATTACTGATGAACAGTATTTTGATGTCATCAGATTGGTTTGAGTATAAATAAGATGTCAAAATACTGAGTGCAGAATTATTTAAATGTCACTTTCAGTGTAAAGAACCAGGTTAGGTGTGTAGGTTTAATCATACAACTGTCATTTTGAGATTTGGATTTCTTTACCTGAAGAGTCTTATGGTACCCTCTAATTTCATGAGAATTTGGCAGAATCACTATTGCTGTTGCAAATATACACAAAATTCTTAGAAAATGTGCAGCAATCGGTGTATTGATACACCATCAATACATAAATTTTTTACATTTAAAAAAAGTGAAAAAAGATTTATACCATACACTTTTTTTTTTAACCATTTTTATCATCCAAAAATCGAGAGCGGAAAATTTTGCAAATAATTTCATTTCCAAAGAATGCGACTGCAGTAAGAGCATAAGAAATGAAAAGTAGTTATGGAGAAACTTGACAACACTCCTGTAAGAAAACATGGTAATATTATCATTACAATATCTAAAAAGTTATCTTCATTTCTACTTCCCTGTAACTTGAATTTCAACATGTTTATGCATTCTTATTCTTGTCCCAAATCATCCATAAACAATTAGAGAAGGTGACTGTGCGGCTGACTTGGTAAAATCATGGATGTAATGCGAGTTCATGTCTGCTTCACTGTGACTGATCAGTTTTTGTGTTAACTTGACACAGAATTCAACAGTTAAAAGAGAAATGTTCAGCATGACCTTCGCAGATAGTTTTCAAGGGTTTGTCTTTGTTTGTAAAGCAGAAAGTTACTGTGTTGATAAATCCATTTTAAAATGTAGACAAGCTCATTCTCTGAATACATTGAGGAAAGGAAAATTAAGCAAATATTTTTTAAATTGCAGAACCTAGTACTAAAATGCTGGGGAGGGGGGTAATACATGAGGAAATATGGTATATGTGATACAAAGCATAACTGTCTGTCATTCAGTAAAGGGTTTTTTATTTGTGTAAAATTTAATTCGTAAAACTAAGTATTTAAGAACATTTGTAAATCACTTTTTTTTTTTTTTTTTTTTTTTTTAAATCTTGGTGTAGGAACACCAACCATGCTAATGATATGTATGGTTTTCAGTTTAAATGTAGACCCTCCTTACAAACAGAAAGTTCATATTTATGTATGAGATGTATCTTGTTACAACATATATTGAAAATGACACCTCTGAAATTCAATGCATATCTGTATGGGTCACCTTGTTCCCAGCAGTCTTTTGTAACTTTTTGTTTATCCATACTCTTGATGCTAGTTTATACATTGTATTGAACAATGATGTTCATTCTCCTACAAATAAGACTATATATCAAATCTTGCTATGTCTCAGCATCTATGGTTATTTCATTGAATGGAGAATTTGTTACTTTGACATGACATACCAGACACGAATTTTCATATGCTACTAAGAAGACTCGATAGAGATGGATTTTCAGAGTTCCATGTTTGATAATTTTTGCTACAGGCATGCTCACTAAAACAATAAATCGTGTGAAAAAAAAAACTGATGGAATAAAAACATTACTATGAATGAGGCTTTTACAAAATAATATATACAATATACAATGCAACAGTCTCTGTTCCTCGTTAAACCCTTTTCAGTAATGATGAAGTATACGATTTACTATTTTTAGTTAATTTGTTATTGCTTAGATGGCACCATTAAAACGTTATATTTAAATTTGGATATATGACAAAATGCAGAAAAAAGGGATAATTAAAACAACTAATTTTAGGCTCGCCATCTAAAATATACTTACTTCATTACCTCTTTTTCCACTTCCACAGAATTTCTCTCTTTCCATCTAATGGTTATTAACCTTTTACACATAACAGGGACTGGAAAACTACTGCAAACAAAACAGGCACAAAATTATGTACTTTCAAATGTGTGGTGTACTTTTAAACTGAACACTTTGTGCATGAGGTTTCAAAAGAGATCATGAGATCATCTCTTGAATGAGATTGGTCCATTCTTGAATGCTAATTTATAAGATTCCATTCTAAGAAATATATTAAATGGGCTAGACTTTCAGACTACAATACTTCTGCTGAAGTGATATATTTATTAATAACACTTGGAATTTATTAATGAGAAGTGTGTTTACTGCTTTCAAATCCCTTAATTTTATTAAGCTGTAATAGACATTAAATTTTAAAGTTTTTACGTTTTACTGAATGGCAAAGTTCTAACTGACTATGTGCATGCTTATGTGGAATATAAATTAAGCATCATATATTTTGTGTAGTAGCATTACCTCCGAAGAAAAGTATATGATAGATGTGTAGTAATGTAATGTAACATAACATAATGATGCAAAAATTTCAGGAAGACTGTTAAAAACGTTTTGAATAACAAAAAAAAAAAAAAAAAAAAAAAAAAAAAAAAAAAATTGTCTTCATATGATCAAAATTATCCAAGATATCTTTTTAAATTTGGGAGCATAATACTAAAGACAGCTACATATGTTAAATTTATCAATCTAAAATTTTGAGAGATGTTGTCAGATAAACATTATGGGACCATGAGCTTGAAGTTCTTTCTTCAAAATTCTAAAATTTTTATCTTGCAGAATTCAGTTCTGACATGACCCCCTAAACTCGGTATTTTTGGGGTAACTTTTGCAAAATGAAAACCAATTTCCTTTTCTACAATCTTTATTGAATCTTTATTGAAGGTCTAGTATTAGAATTAGTAAAGTATGTATGAAAGGAAAACTTTGCAGAAAAACTGAAATTTTATATATTTTTACCAAAAGGCTTCTCATAGCCAAACCTTATAGCTTGAAAAAGCTAACTTATTTGAATCATTTACGTGAAGAAGTGTCTACAATCCTCAATTCATTTAGCTGTAAAATGTTTACACATATATTTAGTTAATTGATGTTTTATATGCAGTCGCATTAAAAAGTTGAGCAGCTATCTGCAAAACTTCCAAACAATCACGTTTTTAATTAACCAGTATTGCATTTTAAGATAGTTTTTAAAAAGCAAATTGCCTTTTTTATTGATTACAAGCACTTTTCATGATCTATTGCTAGCAGCATTCTATGAGGGATGTCCAAATGTAAAAAAGGAATTTGCATGCTCTTCTTGTAAAAAGTTATACATAATTGTAACTTTTTGGCAAACACATTTGAACCTGTTCATAGTATTATTAACACATTGACTGCTATGGGGGTCACCGGTGACCTGCCCTTGACTTGGCTACAGCGCCATGGGTGCCACCAGTGACAGGCGACGCGACCAACAGTAAAATATATTATTAGAGTAAATATCGATACTGATAAATTTTTAAATAGTACCATTGTTACTATAATGGTTTGAAGAATAATAAATCATAAAAATTTAAATTATAAAGTGCAATAATGGTCTACAGCGCCTTGGGGGTCACGGTAACCCCCACACGAAAATGCTTAAGATGATTATATAACTCGCATTGTCTTCTTAATATTTAAACATAATATACTTGCATAATAAAAATTTCAAATTGGCGTCATGGGCAAACCATGTCAAATGTGCATGGCAGTCAGCGTGTTAATTTATTTTTACATCATCCTTGTTTGTTCTAATCAACATATCGGACTAAGAGGTTAACAACAGTGTTGTACAGCCTATCATTATTAGATTTTTGACTAACAAAAGTATCATTTTGTCTCTATTTTTCAAGACTTAACAGTTTCTTTGTTTCACTTTTGATGAATTTTTTTGGAAAGAAAAAAATACAAGTGTAAGTTAATGAGTAAGTTGATGCTGTGTATGCCATTAAAAGATTTTTTTTCTTCTAGAATCAAGAATATCTTCAGCCACTGAATAAGTGGTAGATGACTAGACAGAGTGTATAAATTATCCATCGTATTCAATAAATTAAGTTTAGCTCATGACTTCCTTTTTATATCTAAGCAATCCCTTACATGTCTTTTTTCATTTTGTTTTATTAAAAAGTGTTATGTGTAACATAATTTGTTTCCTTTTTTTTAGATTAGGACAAAAGATCAAGTCTTTGACAGTGTGAGTCATTTGATCAAACACCATAGAGACAATAGTTTGCCAATTATATCTGCTGAAAGTGCACTACTATTAAGAACTCCAATTTGTAGAACAGGATCTACAAGTAAATCAGTCCAGGTGTGATAAATATGTAAATATTGCTTCAATATTTAATTTCATATTTCAGAAGTTTTTACTTTTTGACACTGCATTTAGAAATGAATGTGCCTTAATTTGTTTTATACAATTCCTAATCTCAATAATTAGGAAGCTTTTAATATTGGAAGAAATTAATAAATATTCCAAAATATTTTTGGCTATTATGATAAATATAAAAAGAGAAATGTATTATATTTTTAATGTTTCCATTCATTGCTGTGTATGTTGTGTTTACATCTTATGCATTTTGGTTTTTTATTTGACATCTTTCTTTGCCTATTTTCACTGTGACGTAATGACTCTCGCACATAAACTTTTAGATCTAGCCCAATTGAGACATGTAAGCTATACATTCTTTGTTTTCCAAAATAACTAAATAATAAAGAGCTTTGTATTATTTTCTTGTTGTTTTCAAAACTTTCATTAAAACACAGATGCATAGTTTTTTATTATTAAAGTTATTTGAAATACATATGCAAGCATTGTATTTATGCAAATTAAAATTTGAAAATGTTCTTATGTTTACTTTTTTTTTAAGTTTCTTTTTTCAAATGTTTAAAAGTAGCTAATTTTCAGAAATAACTACAAAATAAATACAATTTGAATAGCAAAACAAAACTCTGATAAGAAAAATGTGGATGAGCTTATTGAATTAACCACTTAACTTTCATTTTTTTGCCATATTGTGACCAAAAATAGGCATATTTTTATAAGCAATTTTGTATTCTAATCGTTTATATGAATTCAAATCAGCAGTCGAAACTATTACAAGTATTGCATTTATTAATTTAAGATAATTTTTAATTACGGTGACATTAAGGTATTTTTACTTTAAGTTGGCTTTTTTGGGGGGAGGCACAACTGTGGAACTGGAAAAAACACTTTGCAGGAGATAAGTGTGAAAGAAGCAAATTTGCTATGAAAGGAAAGCATGGCGATAGTGGAGGAGGATTACTAATATCCATTTCACAAAAGTTCTGAAGTTGAATTAGATCATGCGAACTTTCAGTTTCCTCCTCATCACTAAAAAAGCTTGATAAAGAACTTTCAGAACTACCAGAATCATTTATTGAAAATTCAGATTTGCTATCTGATTCAATATCAGAATTATATTTTGTAATGAGCCATTTACTGTCACCCATCATTCTTTTATTTCATGACAATTGGGAAGAAATACTAATATACAAAGCAAAGTCTATAATATACACTGAACACATGCAAATTCGTAGAATTTCTTCGTCTAATGAAAAGCGTTAAAACCTATCCTTTAACTGATTTTACAATCCAATCTCTCTATTAGAAACACTAAAAAGTAAAAAAGCCAGTAAATCGGTGTATTGGTTAAGAAAATAAACTGCCCGAGTGGTGCACGGGTAAATAAAAAAAGTCCCTTTTCGCAGCACCCGAACGGTGTTCGGGCAAAACAGTTAATTGATTAAATACCCCCCCAAAAAGGTTCAATTGCTGTCATATATGCTTCATTTTATCTTATTTTTGAAGGCTGAAATGTGCCATTAATAAATAAATCACAAAAAATATCACTCTTTGGCACTTTTGTATAATATTTGTTATAAAATCTGAGTATAATTTAGAGAGGAAGGAACTTTTAGTAATAAATGTTTTTACAGTTTATATATTATTTCAACTACAATACTAAAATTAGAGGATTAGAAGTTTTCTTAATTAAAGAATTAAAAATTGTCAAAATCTAACACAAATAAAGTATAATCTATTTTAATATGCATATTGTCTCAAATGTTTTTACAAAATAAAAAATTTAATGGAAATGTAAAAAATAACAATTCATTATGTTAATAAATTATCAATATTACATTATAACCTGGGAAAATACTTAAATCATCTGAATTATATATTTAAAACAATAGAGAGAGAGTATTATATTAATGTAAAATTCAATATAAAACAAATTTTTATTTATATTAAAAACTTTACAACTTTTGGCTTTTTATTGGGCTTTTCGGGTATTTTTACATCTTGTACGGGTTCTGCATCAATACTTGTCCATTCACTGATAGTATGAAGAGTAACAGTATCTTCTTCATCTATTCAACAAAAATTATAAATATAAGTTTTTAAAAGAAATTTAAAAAATTCAAATCTAACAAAAACAATTAAAAAATACAAATTTAAAAAATAGAAATATTTTGGGTTTTGTTAAAGATCAAAACACATCACTGGTGATTAGCTATTCCATGTTTAGCTATGAACCAGTCTAAAAAAATACACAAACAAGGAGGGTCCACCAGCAACCAAGAGGTAAAGTTGCTGAACACTGGTAGTTTGATCCAAGAAAAAAAAAAATGCATAAACAAGGAGGGTCCTCCAGCAGCCGAAAGGTAAAGTCGCTGAACACTGGTACTTTGGTCTGAGATTTGGATCCCGCAAACGAGCTGGCTGCATGGTTTTTCCCCATGTGTATGTGCATGAGCAAGTTTCCCTTAGAAAGTTCTCCACGAAGGAATTCCTCCCCTTAGACACATATCCCTCAAGGCTTTGCTACAAACACATAAATCAAACCATAAACATTTTTCTTTTAATTGCTGGAAATTCAGCTAAGTTCCTAGAAATCTACCAGTAATGGAATTAATGTGTTAATGAAATATTCTAATCCTGAGAAGCTACATCTATGGTATAATTGATATTTTAATAAAGGTTATCACTAAAGAATGCGGGGATATAAAAAATAAATTAACAAAAAGTTACAGTAAAATTCTGATATTTGTGAATGCCTGTAATATTTTGTGAAATGCAAGACCAAAAATTTTGCATGCGTAGAGGTTCATAATACATTGAATGCACACAGAACCGATGATAGCTTGATAAAACTTTACGGTTCTGGAACTTTCCATAAAGTTACTGGTACGGCTCTTCACAGTATCACATAGTACAATCAGTAGTTACACTTCAAACTACTGTGAACATTAAACACAATGCAATGCAAAACACATCTAAAGAGCGAAGCTGAAATAAACAATTTTAAATATAAAACAAAATGTTGGTCTTCAGAAAATTCTTCATGGTAAATTTAGCAGCAGTTTTTACTTAAATAAATATGAAAAGTTTTTTTTAACAAAAATATATTATTTGGATTGAAGAAACAAATTAATTTTATTACTGAAATTAACATATTTTACAATAAATATGGATTGTGAATTGCAGAAAATTTCATAAATTACTATTTTTTGATGCATGTCCATGGTGTCTTAATATTAATTTTGATTTCATGTAAATTTTAAAATTATATGGCGTAATTAAAGGATTTGTTCATTCATAATTTTTCAGACATTGCGTTCAAACTTAATCCACCTGCATTCCATGCAAACAGAGATATATTGTTAAAAACCAGTCCAAAAATATACAGTCACCACATAATATGGACACGAGGTCCAGTTGGTTCGGGTTTAATAAAAATGCTGCATGTATTTTACCGCAGTTATCCAACTAGCAAGGTACGATCAAAGGAACCATAACTGATTTAATGAGCCATTCATGATTCGCCGTAACACAGCATGTACTTTTAGACATGCAAGGCTTAAATCTTTGAAACAAGCATCTGACCACTCACAGGATCAACCACGCTTTTTTTACGTTATTTATAGCTTTTTTATGTTCATTGAACATTCGAGCTGCATGTAATTTGAATCCACCAGTGAGAGTGCACACCTTGGAAATGCACTAGGAGGCACCGTCTCAAGACGGCATCCTTGTTTATTTCACATGCATGGAATCTTATTTTATGCTTTCAATAGCAGACTCACTACGTCCTTCACAACATCAGCACTGAGAGGTGAACATTCTTGGGCACTCAGAGGCTGGGACAGAGATGAAGAAAAAAATATTTTAAAATTTTTATTATGGCTCTGCAAGATGCAGCAATAGCACGGGACCGAGCTGCTCAACAGATATGGTGAGAAGTTTTTGATTTTCAAACAAGGGGGCCCCTAGGGACAAGTGAACTAATACACATAAGATTTTTTTTTTACATTAATAAATGGAAGTTTGGGTAAAGTATAAGATGATAAAGAACGTAACAGTTTTCTTTAAACAAACTCAAAATTTCAATTCCAGCACTTTCTGTAGCATTTGAATCTAATACACAATCATAGTGCATCATGGCAAAATTTGCCTAGGAACTAAAATTGGGGAAAATGATACTATTGAAAATTTTGTAAACTATTTATTTATTATATTTAAAATTACTTTAAAGGTAGTTTTATTGGTGGGTGTACAATTTCTTTACATAAAGTTCTTTTTCTTACTTCTCTAGTATGCTTATTGAAATTTTCTTTGTATGTAATTATATTTAAAATACATAATCTTATATCTAATAAATCCTGACTAAGTGATTCTTAAGCTACGAGTGTATTTGTTAGTTATTCACGTATATGAAAATAATTCATATTTAATGTGAAAATTACAAAGAGTAGCCAAAACTCGGTAAAAGCTCCGTTAACAAGAGCAGATTCGACTGGCAGCATAAACTGGTTCTTCCAACATGTCCCATTCACATGGCGAAGAACAAGCATTAACTGCTTCTCGGAATTGGAGGTAGAATGTTCCTACTTCCCTCGAGCAGGGCAAACAGGGAGATTTCCCATAGTGCACTGTGCAATTGCACCGTTCACTTAATTTTAACAAACTACATGGCTGCTCACTGGACTGTCAGTGAAGGACTGGCGTTGATAGATATCTGGGGATGTGATATCATTAAGAAAAATTAGATGGAACAGTATGAAATACAGAAATTTGTAAACAAGTACAGACAAGCTTATCTGATGCTGGGTAGTCCAGAAATACCATTCAAATTAAAACTAAAGACGTGCATATCAGATTCAATGCGACAAGGGGACTCGGCCACTTTTGAATAATTTTTTAAAGAACTTTCATCTACTTTTTATGAATATTATTAAATGGTTTTGTAAGACAAAATGATTTTAAGCTGATTTTTTTTAAATTTAGATTTCTGAAGGAAAAAAAAAGGTTTAACAATTAAAAAATGTCATTCTCCTCCTACAATTTCCTTATTGTATGTATAAGAGCGTTCTCAATAACATAAAGGATCGATTTAGCAATTAATGAATTAGTTTCTGAGGAAAAAAAAACATTTTTATCTAAAAACTTTGAAAGAAACATAATTTCAATTCCATTTCCACTTCAAATAATTTTTCTTTTCAGTATTTTGCAAATCCCAACCTTGCTTCTATAAAGTTTATAATTTTAAATAACTGTAAAAATATTAAATAAATTTAAGCCATATCTATATAAGTTTTAGGGCTTTAAATAAAAGGATTTATCAAAAAAAATGTGAACTAAGAAAGCACAGTCTTAAAAAATATAAACTGTCTCTAAAAATTAAAATTAATCACTTCATTAAATCACTTCAAATTTCTTAAAAATTATAACGAGTTCAATACACAACACACACAACACACACACACATATATATATTATAAAAACTTACGTTACAATAGTTAATATAAACATAAATTACAGTCAAAAAGACTTCGATTCCCAGATTATCGATTTCCGGTTAGATATCAGTTTAAATCTGGTGGTAGGATGGCTGCAGAAATTTAAAAAAGAATGAAACCATAATTCTGAAATAAAGACAATTATGATCAAAGGGTTATCAAAATTTACAAAAGAAAAGCTTATATTTATTGTTACTTTACTTTCTTCGCCATCGGAAGCGAATTATAATGACGAGGATTTTTAAATCATATCACAGACAGAGTACATCGAGATGAAATACTGCATTTAATAAGGAATTATAAGCCGAATAAAATAAAAACATCTGCTCTGAAGATAAGGATAGTGCTGACAGATAACTTCCAATTCATTGCGTGCCGCGGCGTCTCCTGCCGCAGAGCAGTGTGAAATTGATAAACAGATTTCGGAATGGTTAGATAAACGAAGGATATGCCTTTGTCCATTTTTTTTCAGCAATTCCACTTTTTGTTTAATGGACTTCGAAACATACTTTCGCTTTGTAGATCCTTTACATATTAGTAAATATATATCGGAAATTCTATTTGACATAATCGAAAGTTCAAGCTTACTTTTATAAAATTGCTCTAACAGTCTTCAAAAAATAATAAGCCAGATTCAATTCAAAGATTAAGGAACAACGCAATCTGCAACATTAACTGAATTAGATAATTTTAGCTTAGCTTATCCCGTCCGTTATACATTAAACGTGCATGCGTAAACGTATTTTGGGCATGCACACACGCATATTCGCAGCCGTAAAGGTCTTAAGCGCCTGCATCAAAGAGACGCACACGCGTAAGGGCTTTACGACCTTTCTGCGCAAGAGACGCATACGCAGAAAGTTTGTAGCTTTGAGGTCCGAATTAACGACTTTTGTTTGTACAAGCTTTTATTTAAAATCTTCATAAAACACGTTCAAAACAATTTTAATACATGAATTAGTTAGATTTTCTATCAATCAGTATAATCAATAGTAAAACATTTATAATTAATATTAATAGGTGCCCGCCGGAAACAACACAGGGCGAAAACTTCGTAGTACAAAACATTGTGGGAGAAAAGACAGCAAAGAGAAAAACATCGCAGTTCTAAAATATGATGGTAAAATAAAATGACCTACAAATCATCGCATGACGATAATATCGCACACATGCGTTTTTTTAGGTTCTAAATATATGTGCATTTTCGCATAATGATTTCGGAGCATAAGAAGGAAAGAGGGATATTTTTACTTCTATACTGCATATTTTTGAATGAACTAATAACTTTTTGAATGAACTAATAACTTTTGTAAAAATAAGAAGGAAATTTAAACATTTAAAAACTAAAAGTGAAAAGAAAATTAATGCAACTTACAGCACTTAATTTTAAATTTCCATAGTTAATTACAAATTTTATTAGTTTTTTTTATAAAGTTTTACTGATAATTTTTCATGGAACATACAGTCTAAAAAATTTTAGAAAAAGGAAAGATAAATAACTGCATCAGGTTACTTCCATACAGATTACTTAGTTAATTATCGAATTATTTTCTTTCATGTTAGTTAAACTATTATTGTTTTAGTGAAAATTCTATCTTGTTTAAAACCTGGAAAATGCGTGTGTGCAATGTTATCATCATGAGATGATTTGTAAGTACTTTAAATTTTTACCATGGTGTTTTTGAACCGCTTTGTTTTCTCTAAGATGTTTTCATCTGCGATGTTTTTGCCGCAGTGTTTTCATTTGTAACCATAATTACTATTAATTTATCATTTTACTAATTTTTTTCAAAAAGCAAAGTTTGAAATTTTAATAGCCACAAAACATTTATTTAAAACCGTTCAGCAGCATACATGAATTTTTTTCTTTTAACCATTTGGTCTCGTATATAATTTGCATTTTAAATTTATTTAGGTATATTTTAATTAATTAAAGAGTTAAACTCCCATTGCATTCTATAGCAATACTAAACGATTTCAAAAAAGATGTAAGCAAATGTTAAAAATCCGCCAATCCGATTCGTGTGTGTGACATCATTCATCACTTGCAGTGGCGTGTGGGTTAAGAGGTGGAAGACGATGTGCATCTGAACTGGTCCTAAAGACGAAACTGCTTCATATTGCAGTTTCTCCCTAATACAAATGGTGGCTGTGCGAAAGAGCATTGCATGTGAATAAGGTTATAGACATGACTTAAAATCTGACCAAACTTTGATCCCATGGTGTGTAGATTTTTTAATTATATTGGATTTATATACAGAAGTACTTCAAATTTTTTAATTATCAATACTTAAATCTAGTAATTTTATAATTTCTCTATTCATATTATATAAAAATTTAATAAATAAATTAAGAATATATATAACTGGGAAGAAAACAATTTGCATACTTTTCTTGCTTAATGTTGGGCAATCTTTCCTTAAGTGATTCACATTTCCACATATACTGCACTTCCCTCCTGAAATTTGAAATACATTGTTATACGCAATATATATTCAATATTAAAATATGTCGTTATGCATGAGTATCATCAAATATTATAAAAAAAGTGAGGGTAAAAAAAAGTATACCTTTTGGGTATATACCATGCTTGTTATGAGGGCAGTCTTTACTAATGTGGCCTTGCTGTGAACAGATGAAACACTTTGCTAAAGGAAAACCTGCAAAATAATTTTAAAGGAGGTATTTTTTTAACCATAATAAAATATGAATTGCTCCAATTTTATATGGATTTTCATTACCTGGAAATAAATAATCAGTGATTCAAATATTGTATGCATAAAAATTAATCTTTTTATCTACTACTTTTTTTAACACTGCCACTTACCAAAACATAAAATTTAAAAAAATTAAAAAGGGATTTTTATAATAGAAAGATGTAGCATTTGCAAGACACAAATCATGAACACATTTTTAATGCAGATTTTATTTACTTAACGTGTTGTTTCATTAATTGCTCAGATAATAAATAATAGAGTGTTTATTCACATTTCTGCACTCTGAAATTAAAGACCTATAAGCAAATGAGAACTGAATAAATTCAATGAAAAATTGTATCTATACTGAACTTTACTTTTGTAATACCATCCTAAAAATAAAATAGATCCGTAAGTAGACTTCATTATTAAACATAACTTAGTTAACATAATTATTAATAAGTTTGGGAATAAAAAAAACTTTATGAAATTTATCAAGTAGCATTGAATATTTTATACTTATAACAGTTGGACATTATTGAAAGAAGGTAAATGATATTTTATTTACGTTTTACTAACAGGTAGCTTTTTGTTGATTTTTTTTACGTCTCATTTTGTCACATACTCGCTCAGTCTAGAAGTTTAGTAAATAGCAGATAGATTTTATGTCAAGAGGCATAGGTCAAAATGAGAAATAAAATCATAATCAGTGTGATTCATAACAAAAGATTGGCTGTTGTCACCGCTGCTACTTGCCTAGAGAGAGACCTACCGATCAGAACAAACCTGAAACCCTGATGTAGACATGGTTGGCAAGTTTTGAAAGTTAATTGGGCTCTCTATGATGCAATTAGTGCCATAGCTCTATGTAGAATTCCAGGGGTTGTAAATTAATTAATATACTTTAAGGTTCCAATAAGCTTATAAAGCACCAGAGGCAACAAGTTGTTTTGTATTAAGTCTCACTAGACGCAAAAAGTAAGTTTTACATGAATTTTTACATTTTTGTGTTTTATATTATGACCACAGTAAACATTAATGAAAGGCAATAACTCGCTTTAATATGCAGAGATAATTTTTAAAGGTAAGCAGTTATAAATAATTAAATCACGTAGTTAGATAACCTTAGTCATTATGGATTTACATGGCCACTATTAAATTTTATTTATTTTTTAGCAATATTTGTTAAAAAAATGCCCTATTAAAATAAAAATCTAATAAAATTTCACAGTTTAAAATACATGTAATTTATGACATTGATTATTAAATGATATTAGGATTAAAAGCTACAAAACATTTATGTCTTATGTAGCAACAACACTCAACAAAATATGTATGCATGTTTTTATTTTGAAGTCTTCCCAGACATTTTGGCTAATTATTTATATCGATTTTTTTTTTTCTCTTTAAGCCTCTTTTCTAACAATTATAAAATTTGTCTCAATACGCAAATCCCCCACCCAATGTTCTCATTACTATCTGTGTGCTTTATCTACTAACTTGTCAAGTTCTCCACAATGTACCTATGATGGTTTACTTGATCTGGCAAAAATTAAATAGTTTAACACCCCCCCACCACCACCAATAGACGTGAAACAAATTATCCCTATGTCTAAAAGCAACTGCAAAGTCAGTTTAAATAAGCCTCTTATTTAAAAAAAACTTAGAACATAAAGGCATGTTGTTATGCTAACAAAGTCAATTACAGCTCGTAGAGATGTAATTAAGAAGAGTCAAATTCAAATTAAAAATGTGGATTAGTCGTCAAAGACTATACAATTTAATTTTAATTTAAGCTGCCTCAGTAACTCTATCATCATAATAAATTCAAATGTTAGCAGCGATAATGCAAAGATGAATAATGACAAATTATCAGAGCTGGCAAGAACTAATGCAGCAAGTATTCAGTTTCTTTCTTCAATAACTTCCCCTTTTCTTTTCAGAATTTTTGGATTTCATTGAAGATTTCTGTTATTCTAAAAAATCTAAATACATTTAGAATGTCTGAAAAAAGCTAAAAAATTTTATTTATTTGGTAATATAAAATATTCAGAAGAAATATGAAATATATATGGTAAAGGCCAGTTACAGCCGGTATGTAGTTATAGAGCCGGTGTGGCAGAATTTTTAGAATTTAGTGACACACCAAGCAAGAAAATCTAAGAATGGCAAAACTTTCAGAATTTAGAGATTCAAAGCAAAATTTAGAAAGGCACTAGGCAAAAGAATTTATAATCCACAGAGATTACATTAGGTGAGCAAATGCTTAGCTCCAACCCAGTGTATGATACATTAAGACACATTAGATGAATTGTTTAAATTGTCAGTTTCTGATTTCTTGACTAAAAAAAAATTCCTTTCTATAATTGCCTGCTCATGTGATAAGATCAGAAGCATTTTTGATATTTTCTATGCTTGTGTCTAGTAAAATGTAGGAAAGATAAACATGTTAAGAAAAAGATTTTAGTATCAGAAGTAAGGCATTCAAACATTGTTTTCATTGTTCTTCCAGATGCTCTCCAAAAAGTAAAAATTCATCATAAACCTTCTGTAAAATACATCCATTACGTGTTAATACCATGGAGACAATTTTCATTTTGTCACATTTTTCTGAAATGTTCTAGAAACGTAGGTCTATAAATTTTGCCTTCAAATCCTTCTAAACTTTCCAAGGTGCAATGTCTAAAATCCTAAAGAAAAATTACCCCTACCAATTCTGTAATAACAAAAAAAGCAGAAATATTTTGGAAAAAAAAAGAGGAGAAAAAGTGTACAATTTATTTTATACAGAAAACTGATGCATATTATGAGACAATTACATGGAAAAGACTTTTATCATGAAAAAATTAAAACAACACTTTTAATCAATTACATAGCAATTCTGCTTTTGCTAAGAACTGTATTGTAAATTGTGCTTTATAGCATTATACCTTGTTTATTTATCAATGTTACAATGTAAAAAAAAAAAAAAAAAAAAAAAAAAATCGAAAAATTCCCAGATCTCGGAAAAGAATACTTATCCTACGGTATTTTGAAAAAGAATGTTCACATTTGATAGCAAAATAAGTGGAAACTCAATTATTCATCACTCTTGATTGCCACTTTCAGTATCAGCTATTGAGACAGTTCAATAGGTAGAATAAATTCACCAAAAAACACAGAACTAAAGAAAGAAAAAATTCAGATTGACTAGACTGTGCAATAAACTATTATCATTAAATCAGTGTATTTAAAATAATATGCTACAATACTGTTTTAAATAATATACCACTATATTATCACGTCAAACTGTACCAAGAAAATTTTCCATTAAAAACCAGTGGTAATCACTGGATATCATGTTTTTTATGATTAATTCACTGACCACTTTTTAAAACTTCATTTGGCAGTACATGAAACTTAATGATCTAATGTTTAACTGAATATTATTTTAATTACACAATTCTGAAATAATAAATGTCTAATTGTGAGGAAATGTATACTGAATTATTTACATAATCGAAACAGAAATTGTAAAGCTAACAAGTAATGAGACGTAAGAATTATTTATTTATATATATATATACTAGACAAAAAGTAAGAAATTTAGAACCAAATCCACAAAGGCTCAAAAGAAATTAATTTCAAACCAGTAAATTTTAAAATTCCTTTGTGGATTGGTTCTAATTCTTACACTTCACCTATAACTGTTTAACGTTCAGCAGCAGATTGCACAGAAATAAGATTGGGATAATTTTGTTTTAAATTTAAAAAAAAAAAAAAAAAGGTTACTCTCTCTCTCTATATATATATAATATTTTGACTTCTACAACTGATAATAAATTTAGTACCACATTTTGTTTATATTAAGTTAGAAATTAAAGCACAAATAATAGACTGAATGCTATACCAAGAGATTAACATTTTGCTAGATATTACATCTCCATCCAACTCTGCCATGGACCCATTTTGCATTTTAGAATCAGGCACAGCTTTTCCCAGACAGCCACTTGGCATACTATGGCACAGTAGCAGGGGACTTAAACACAACAAACTATCTTTGGAATGCCAACAGAGAAGCTCAGCATGCTATTTCAGTTTGGAACTTTTATGCTTCAGATAGGCTACTGTTCATCAATGCTAACAATAACAAATCTCCCCCACTTCCTGGACAATCCAGACATGAGAAGGCCAAATATTGCTCTTGTCATGGCATTTACCACTGCCTACATACAGGAGTGGGCAGTCAGAAATATTCACTCAGCAAGTGATTCATAGAATCATCACATACTGTTTAGGCATTGCAAAGATTTAAGATGGTTTATATGGAGGCTATTCTAAGTTACACAATATAAAGTCTGAAAACCAGATTTCCAGTATCTGGAATGACCACTAGCCAGAAAAATAAAAAATACCTTTACGAAGAATACGAATGGAAGAATATAATTCCCCCCCCCCAAAAAAAATACCTGCAGCAAGTGCACAAAAAATGCAAGGACTAATCGAGATTCCTGCAGGTCATTTTCAAACATCCGCTGGCTAGGTAATTGCACCAATGGCCAGTATACATTAATTGACGTATTGATATTAGCCACAATCAGCCCATGATTGATTGTTTTGGGAAGTTAGCATTTTTTTCTTTCAGACCTAAAAATGAGTGAAGCCTCAATGTTGTCAAGTCTACATGTCATCTTACTAGATTTAAATTGATGATATAATATCTGGAATCAACAAAGTCATAGTATGGTAAATTATAATTTAAAGAATTGAATGACCACTAGCCAGAAAAATAAAAAATAACTTTACGAAGAATACGAATGGAAGAATATAATTCCCTCCCCCCCCAAAAAAAATACCTGCAGCAAGTGCACAAAAAATGCAAGGACTAATCGAGATTCCTGCAGGTCATTTTCAAACATCCGCTGGCTAGGTAATTGCACCATGGCCAGTATACATTAATTGACGTATTGATATTAGCCACAATC